TAATAATAATAATAATAATAATAATAATAATAATAATAATAATAATATCAGATAAATGTTCAGCTGACTGTTAATAATAATAAAAAAACATTGGCATTGACAAAATTTCTATCAGTCAATTGCAGAAGCTGTTTATTCATCCTGTGCTAAATACCTTTAAAACATCCACATCTGCCTATCACAGGGCCTTGAGAAGGACTCAATAGAAGGCCAAAAAGGCCAAATCCAGTCTAAACATCTGGCTGGCTTTGCAACCAACAACAATAACCACCACTGGCATTGACTCAATCCCCATCAGTCAATTGCAAAAAGGCAGCTTTACTAGGACCACGTTTCATCTTGACACAGTCCTTTTTTTTAACCCCATGAAATCACCACATCTGCCTATCCCAGTTCCTTGTGAAGGACTTGACAGCTGGACAAAAATGCCAGACCCAATCTGAACACCTGGCTGACCGTGTGAGGAACAATAACAATAGATACTTCTGGTAGGTTGACTGGGGGCCAAGCATTAGTTGGAGTTGTTTTTGTTTCTTTTACAGAAGTAATGTCCAACCGGATGGAAGGGATAATGACGTCTTACACGCCCCTTGCACCACCGCAACAACAGATTGTAGCAATGGACCAGAGTACCTACGCCACTGATCCTTTCCAGCAAGGTCTCACCCCGCCACAAATGCCAGGTGACCACATGAATCCTTATGGTAAGACTCCCTGGGAATCAGCTGCCATTGTCATGTGCAAGTAAGACCTTCAGAACATCTGTGGAGACTCTGAGATCTCCTGTTAACATCTGGAAGGGCGCAGAAGTGTTCAGAGAACCCATAGAGTGCAGTGGTTAAGGGTGGACTCAAGAAACACCCGTGTTTGTCCATTCTTGGCTTGTGAAACTCACTGGATGGTTTCAGACTGGTTGATTTCTTTTTGCAAGGAAGGTTGTAGAGGAAAAATTGCTGCTTTTATCTCCTAAAGCAAAGCAAGAGAGATATCTAAATTCAGATATCCTATCGATTAGAGTCTTTTTTTCCGTCTTGCTTCCTTGCTTCGAGGTGACAATGCAGAGCTCCTAGGAATAGACAGATCAAACTCATCCTACGTATGTGTCCATCGGTGACTTCATTTTAATCCCCCCACTTCATTCTCCCAAAAGGATCCGAACACACATTAGAGAGTAGTCCATGGTAGTGAGAGCATTACAGGATCTGAAAGCTTCTTCTGCTCTTCCTTCCTTCCTCCCCTCCACTTGTTCCTCCACACCCCATTGGCAAATGTGGGGATTAAATCAGCTTCTTTCTCATTTCCTGAAGCAGCGATGGCTGTCAGAGGTTTTGAGCCCTGCCGTTGCCTTCAGGGCAAATGGCATTTCCTAAGGCTGTTTTCCCTTGGATTGCCATCGTTCTCAACTCCCATGCCAAGAAAGACAAGAAGAGGAGACGTAAATAAATGAATCAGTGGAGCCCAAAGGGCGTGGGGAAGAGTTACTTCTCCACCTTGGGCTACTGATGGCAGCAATTGACCTTTTGAAGGACATTTGTGCAGGGTTAGATGTTGACTTTGGTCTACCAGATCTCAGATGGGTTCCATAGTTGATCAGCTGCCCTCAGAGAAAACCCATTGCTTTGTTTTTGAGCTTAAAATATATATGAAGAACGGTTTCAGGAATTGGGTGTGTCTAGTTTAATGAAAAGAAGGATCGGGAGATGACACAAGGGCAGTCTTCCAATATTTGAGGGGCTGCCCCCAAAGAAGAGGGAGTCAAGCTATTCCCCAAAGCACCTGCATACAGGACAAGAAGCAACGGATGGACACCGATCAAGGAGAGAAGCCACCTAGAACCAAGGAGAAGTGAGGACAATTAACCAGTGGAATTCCTCGCCTTCAGAAATTGTGGGCGCTCCATCACTAGGCGCTTCTAAGAAGAGATTGGATGGCTGCTCGTCTGGAATGGTATAGGGTCTCCTGCTCAAGAAGGGGGTCGGACTAGAAGGCCTCTAAGGTCCCTTCCAACTCTATTATTCCATTTATCTCTGCATCCATTATGAAGCCAGAGTACGAAAGAGCCACAAAGAGTTAAACAGCCACATTATTCTAGTTATGCGCTTCTTATTTTAAGGAGGCCTGAAACTGGAGAAAGTCGGGGTGGGTCAGTAGGGACCAGCAATCCCAAAGGCTTCTCTTTTCACAACCACATCAGTGAGGAGGCGGCATCAGATGTGGTTTGGCAGAAAGCTGGTTTACCCGCTTGCATCCAGAGCTTTTTAGCATGCAAATTGATAACAGCTCTTATCGCACTCACAACAATGGTATGTGGGGGTAGAATGTCGAGATTCCCAAACTGGGGGTGGGAGGGGGTGGGGTGGGAGGGGGTGCCAGATGGGTGGCATGGCAATAGGAAAAAAAAACACCCCGGTTCACCTCTGTGGCTGGGCAAGGATTTGCTATTCCTATTTTGCCCTTCACCCATCAAGTCGTGTCTCGTATGAGATCCGGCTGCGTGGCTGCGTTGAATAATTCAGAGGTCTTCATGTTCAGCTCAGCTTTGTCCATCAGGTCTTAACGTCCCTGGAACAGATCAAAGCACTAGGTCCTTCTCTTCAGCAGGATGGTGTTTGGAGTCCTAGATCCAGATATAATGGCTCATTTTAATGTCAACTATCCTCACGGCGCCATTCCCATCTCCAAAGAGGTCCCGCATTTTCCAGCCGCTCAACCACTGGAATCTTTCTGGATTTTCTTTGAATAAAAGATCAGATTCCAAAAAAAACAACAACAACAACAACAACAACAATGACGATGATGATGATGATAATAATAATAATGAAAAGGCTGTATGGAGCAAGGTTTCTTCTGCACTTTTGCAACCGCTGCAGTTTCCAGAAGCAATCCGTGGGCCCTGTTGCAACAGAGTCACCCAGGGATCTAGTCCTCGTGATTTATCGCTTCACATCAGACTTCTAGGCAGCGTTTTCTAAGAATGGGGAAAAAAACTTCCTTGCTGCTTCAAACTCGGCATGATGTTTCATGCCGCCCTGATTTCAACATAGGGGACAAATGAGTTTGTGGAGCAGGTTACAAACAACGGCCGAAACGCACCTCGAAGAAACAACCCAGGAGGAAAAAGCAGCGGTAATGAGAAGAGCGGGGAGGAAAGCAGAGGCAAGGAATCGTCCTTCAGCATCCAGCTCTTTGTAGCCAATATAAAGAAGGAAAAGACGGTAGACGGGGCTGAAAGAAAGAACTCGTCCAGTTCTCAGCTGAGCTGGCGGAATATTTCTGCTTTTCTCTCCTCCGCTTCCTTTTCAAGTGATGGGAAAGGCTGCAGATGGGGAACAGCCCTCAAAGACCCAGGCGGATTTGCTGGAGTCCATTTCCACCCAATTCACTCCATCAGCTCCTGTCAATCGTGCCCCTTGCCTGGCTGCGGCTAGGGCTGATGGGACTTGTAGTCCACCTCATTCCATGGACACTCTTGTCTCAAGTGGCAGAGAGACATCAACTGTGTCTCTTTCGCTTTGGGAAACTTCCTCGCCTGTTTTAGATCACCCTCTTCCTTGGTGATCAACAGAATGCCACGCTCCTGGCATTCTAGCCAAGTTTGCGTTGGGGGAAGGGGTGAAAAATGGAGGGGGGGCCTTCTCTCTCTCTCTCTCTCTCTCTCTCTCTCAACACGGGGGTTTCCCCTCTTGCAACCCCTCCCCATTTTCCTTCCAGTGGCAACTTTTATTGGCACTGACAAGTTTTGATCCTGGCATTCCTCAAAGCCACAGTTTCCTCTGATGGAATGCAAGATCATTTCTCTTTTGCCAGCTGGCTTGTCACAGATTATTTGCTTGTGTCAGATTAAAAAAAGGATCTTTCCTGGTCCTCCTCTCTCTCTCTCTCTTTCTCTCTCTCTCTCCCTCTGTTTCTCCCTGTTTCTTTCTCTTTTTCTCTTTCTTTTTCTTTCCTCTCTTTCTCTTTCTCTCTCTTCTTCTCTCTTTTTCTCTCTCTTCTTCTCTTCCTCTGTTCTCCCTCTTTCTCCCTGTT